CGCCTCTCTCGGCGTCTGTTCTGTGCAGTGAGCGGCAGAGAAGCAGCGCATTCAGTTGGCCGCACCGCAGCCGACTCGTCAATAAATGAGTACAAAACAGCGTTTCCTAGCACCTGTCGCTTACTGATTGTTTGGAATTATAAATATGAGCGTAGTTCGTCTGTTAATATCACATGCACTTTTTTGTTTGTTGTTGTTTTTTAGTCACTCAGACGCAGGCAGTGCGCTGCATGAGACAAAGAAGTAATATAGCCAAAACAACCGCATAGGGGTTTGGCATCTTTAGTGTAGATGAATGTTGATTTTATCAGACGATGCCCCGATTATAAATGAGAGTGACTCCTGGTTAACGTATTAAAAGGGGTCGTGTTTAGTCACTATTTAGTGTGGTATTTTTTGACAATATTCACTCATCATGACAGTAAAATAGGGCATTCTAAGTCAATATACTGCAGTATTTCCTCTCGCAATCAGTAGAAAATATGGTTAACACCCGGTCATGCATGGAAAAAAAAATACTGTCTTGTACCGTGAAACCGGTATAATTTAGAAAAATACCGTGATATAAATTTTTGGTCATACCACCCAGCCCTACTTTGAGGGTACTGCGTCAGACACAAGCTGCTGCTACCCTAAAGGTACATTTTGAAGTGTGCATTTGATGGACACTTTACTTACGGGAGTGGACTTTACATTAAGGCAGTAAAACGACACAAGCGATGGCCACGTGACAATGACAACATGGTGGATGTAGTATTTCCGAATTTCATTCACACTACCCGTAATCATACTACATAGAACATGCTTTTTAAAGGTGCAAAGTTCTTCATCAAATGTAGTAGCTATTCAGACAGTATGCGGTTTCGCAGCTAGACAGACATTTAGGAAACTCTATCGCCCCCTTTAGGACTGGGGTTTACTATCGCTACAGAAACGCAAGTATGTACTGTAGAACTGTGCAATTGCAATTTGTTGGCCCACATTCACGTCTGTTTCACATGTGTGCTCTTGCATAGACGGTTTCTGGCGAGAATGTAGATTCTATATTCGCAAGTGCGACAAGTGAAAAACACTCGTCTGCATCTGTTCTCTTCTGTAAATGCACTGCACTTGCCTGAAATGTCTCCTCTGGCAAACACACACACACACAGGCCAAAAGATAAATCCAACCCCACGTCCCTGATACGAGCCAGGCGGCTGGGCAAACGGCCACCATACCAGAGATATCCTGGTGTTGCGTGTGGTGTTTGGTGACAAGAAAACCAAGTCAGCCATGTCAGAACCTAAGGCCTGAAACAATCTGTATGCAAGTACACAAACACACTGCACACACTTGGATACACTGTACATAGCTGAACATGAATCTAGCGTTATAGAGGTGGTAGAAAACCTCAAGGTGGCAACACAGTTAAAACTGTGCGCAAAACTACGCAAAGAGAACAAAAATACGACCAAGACTAAACTGTGGGTCGCCCTTTGAAGTCCAAAGCAAATCAGAACAGTGGAACCTTGTGAGTTTCTTTGTGTCAATGTGAGTTTCTGTTCAAATGAACTCAAGTCAGCTCTAATATTTGGTTTACGATAAACTATAATTCGGCAACTCTCTCCTGAGAACTTCATATCTCAAGCTTTCCGAAGCACTGGGACTGAATGAACCGCCCACTCCGTGAGGCATTGACGTGTGTGCTGGAGGATCAGACACACGAGGCCAGAACCATGAGTCCAATCACTTTCCCCATGTAAGTGACACACCTAAAAACGCACACACAGGCAGCTCGGGACTTGAGTCTGTGTTTGCATTTGTGACCCGAAGCACAACCTGTGACGTCATTTTAAATCAACAAGACCCTCTGGAGAAGATGAAGTCAGTGCTGGTCTCCATCCAAACCCAGGGCTTTAGCGTTGACACTACACATTGACAGCATTTCTTCAAGAGAAAGTCAGGTATTTACTCAAACAACATGTCCGTTTCCAGTAACTACAAGCATGCACTGGTTAAATCATCCAATGTTCAATTAAATAAAAGCAATATGAGCATGTTCCAAGAACAGTACCTCACAGTCTATGTCGTAATGTGCAGTCGAAAATTGTATACAAAAAGGTCCATTGTATATTGTCAATAGTGTAGTGATGTATGAAGCACTGCTGACACTCTCAAAGAAGTTCACTTTCATCATGGTGAATTCACAAGACTAAATTTTAACATAGGAAATGTTTTGCCCTTATGTGAAACAAACGTACAGATTACTATTGAATCAACTGAGAATTTTTTTTGCAAAATGTCTCCAAGCACTGGTAAATGTGACCAAACCTTTAGGAAGCTAACTAAATTGATTTGAAATCCTTTAAATAGGAGTCATGATCCTTAATGGTCACTTGTACATGCCACAAATAGCACACAAGGCTACAACACTTAGTCGATTTGAAGACAGTTTCAATGTAGCATGTTACTAAGCCAACCATGCAATACTGTAACATTCTTACAAATACATAGCACAATATGTAAAATACACTGTTTTAATGACCCAATAATAATAAAATTAACCAGACTAAACCGGGTTTGCTGGTCTTTGCTGATCTCCTATCTTGGTCAGACACTGGTCTGTTGGCTGGTTTTAGAGGGGTTTTAGGTACTTTTCAAGTAATCAGGCTGGAAAAACATTTTAAACCAGTCAAGATCTTAGGCTTGTTTGAGCAATTTTTTTCAACCGGAATGCAGTTTTTTCAATGATGTTTAGTATTTAATGAAATAAGTGTATCTATAACATTTTCCTGCTACTTTCCATGTATCCACAGCTAAGCCAGTCTAAACCAGCTTCTGCAAGTGTTTTTTTTTTTTTTTCCAGCAGGCTCTTGACTGTGTCTGGCATTTTGGCAATCTGTCTTGAAAAATCTAGATGAGCCTTTACATCGGAAGTGCACCTATAATACCTTGATGAAGTCATGTGACATCAATAGCTAATATTATTAGGAATGTCCACTATTTCACAGTGCGTACAGTGTTGTACTGAGCAGGCTGTATGCTAGTTTTTCCTTTTCAAACACAGCCAAGCACACTTGAGCAGTGCTGACATCTGATGAACTGAAGTAATGTCACTCCTCAGAATGTTCTGGGTAACAGGGCTGGCTTCATCGTTCAGCTGTTGCGATCTCCTCGGCTAAGCGCTAAGCGTGTGCCAACAGTGAGAAGCATTTATTAAAAGAGGAAAGGGACGTCTACAACACACAACATGATTTTGCACTTAGGGTGAAGCTTTCATCTCCAGAGCAATAAGGTCAGACCCTCCTTCAAGTTTTCAGTACATCACGCATTGAGACCCTGACATGAGAAATATGACGAGCTCACGCCCTGTTATTTGGGTGTGTGCTAGTGTGTGTCCACAGGCCGATTTCCTGCAGCGTAACTGACAGGTGCTGAGTGCAGTACGGTTGTGGAGGTGGCAGCTGAGGTCTATGAAGCTTGGCGAGGGACGAGAAGGGCAAGGAGATGAGGAGAGACGTTCTGCTGTTTGTTTTGAAACACGAGGAGAGTGTGGGGCTTTAATAGAAATTCCACTGATGCTGATCACACTCAACACTATCATGAAAATGCAACCATGATAAAACAATAATTTAATACCATTCTACAATATAATGGTTGTACATGTCTATTCTTACCATTTCTTCATAGAATTCACCTTTAAAGTAGCAAGCAACCGAGTCAGAATGGCATTCTCTTGGTAATGCTAACTAGAGTCGTGTTACACTGAGTAAACATTGTGCTAAGTTAGGCAAGGATTTCTGAGCGATGACTTTAGGACGATCAGAGAAGGACACAGAGACAAATCGGGACAAATGCACTGGGACATAACAAATGTGTCCACTTTTGCATTATCATCCTACCAATATTCTCGCTCCAAAATTGTTGACAATTGCAGATATGTTGAAATAGCTCACCCAAAAATGAACATTTGGGCAACTTTTGTGGTACTTCAGTTGTGTTTTTTGGAGTTTAATTTTTGGAACTTGCATGGAAAGGAGCAGCGTGAACATTCTTTAAAATTTCAGCTTTTGTGTTTCAAAAAAAAAAAAAAAACAGCAAACCTCTAACAGCATAGAGGTTTAGATAATATGGAGCCCTTAAAGGAATATAGCGATGAAAAAATATGAGATGGGAGGAAAAGTTATATTTCAATGCTTTTGTATTCGCTCACAAAAGCATTGAAATATATTGAAATATATATATTTTTCCTCTTCTCATTCATTTCATCAAAAAGTTTCTCGAGGAACACAACAGTTTTACAAGAGGACACAAAAGTTTAACGAAATGCGAAAAGTTAAGTGAGCAAATGCAAAGTTTAGCAAGCAAACGTAAAAGTCTATTAGAGTAATGCAGGTTTAGTGAGCAAAAACAAAAGTTTAGCAAGCAAAAATGAAAGATTAATGAACAAAAACTAAAGTTTAGTGACTAAACACAAAAGTTGAGACAGCAACCGCAAAAGTTCAGCAAGCAAACAAAAGTTTAATGATCAAATGCAAACGTTTAGTAAGCAAAAAAAAGTTTAACAAACAAAAACGAATGTTTAGCCAGCACATGTAAAAAATTATTGGAGGAATGCAAAAGTTTAACAAGCAAAATTTAGCAAACAAATGTTTAGTGAGCAAACAAAAGTTTAACAAACAAAAACGAATGTTTAGCCAGTAAATGCAAAAGTTTATTGGTGGAATGCAAACGTTTAACAAGTGAACTTAAAAGTTTAACAATTAAACAAAACTATGGCGAACTATGTAATTTAGAGAGCAAACATCAAAGTTTAGTGTGCAAACATAAAAGTTTAATGTACAAAAACAAAAGTTTATTGGGGAATGCAAAAGTTTAACGAGTGAACGAAGTTTCTCGTGTAAATGCTAAGTTTCTTGGGGGAACTCAAAGGTTTTGTTAGACAATGCAAAAGCATTGAAACACAATTTTCCTCCATGTCCCTTTAGGGGCTCCTTATAAATGACGAGAGGGTGAGCAAATAATATTTAAAAGGAACTATTCCTTTAAAGACAGTCCAAAATTACAAGTCTTAAACAGATAGCAAGCAACTTACAGAGTAGAGAAGAGGTAGTCTTAAATAGTTTGACACATATCTGAGTCTAAAAAGTATTTGTCACTCAACTAAGTTATTGTTATTCAGCCATGGCAATAGCAATAACACCGTAAAGTATAAGTCTTAGTGTTTACAGTGTCATTAGCAAGTGAGCTCCTTGAGCATTCACACAAGCACACACTCACCTCCAGACGTCTGTCCTGTGCTAAAATGAGGTGCAGGCGGCTGCAGAGTGTTTGTGTTGGACCCTGAAGGTCGCAGGTCAATGTGTGCAGTGCTCTTTCGCTGCAAAAAATAACACCAATATCCACACATTAAGGAATGTCTAGGTTTTGTCAGATGCACAATCACACACAAAAACTGAGTCTGTATCACACACACACACACAGGTACACACACAGGTACACACACACACACACACAGGTACACACACACACAAAGATACAAACACACACACGTACACACACACGCACAGTTTAGAGCCGCTGTAGGGAGTGTTTACAACACACACACACACACACACACACACACACACAGATGCCGCATACAGAAGATAATTAACTGTCTACTGCACACCAGACAGTGTTCGGACAGCTTGACAGATGTGAGACTGCAAAAAAAGTGATGGAAAATGTAATGAACAACAAAGCTTTGTTCCAAAACCTTAGAGCTTCCTATGCATTCAGCATTTTAAAGCATCATGGAATCCCAAATTATGCTGCCTCCTAATATACTGTTTTAACCAAAGGCAGCATAACATGTATCTTTTGCAAAGGTGTCAATCCAAAAATGCACCATGCCAAGCTAATCAGAAACAAGACATACAAGATGGCAAACAAGAGAAATGTTGATCATAAATAAGCATGTTTCATTCAAATACTTGTGTGTGCTGTGTATTTTATGTTTTGTTTGAGTAAAAAGCTAATAAGCTTAGCAACATGCTAATATCAAACTCTACCGGAATGTATTGTGAATCTCGAGTCTTGTGTGAAGCAATATGTGCTGCTGCCTAAAGTGTTATAAATCACTTGTGAGGTGTCATAGCAGTTAGGTAGCCTATGTAGGTACATTAGTAGGCAGTGAGGTTTTGGGACAAAGCTCAAGCCTAATAAGCAGTAATATTCTCACCTGAGGTAGGACACTGTTGGAAGACTTGGCAGAGACCTCCACATCTGGAGATAAAGACATCGAGTTATTCAATAGAAAGATACATCAGTAACAAACAAAACATATAAAATACAGCAAATTAAGGGCACATCTTGTAAAATTTACCGTAAGTAACACTTTAGTACAGGGATGAATTCTCACTATTAACTAGTTGCTTATTAGTATGCGTATTATTAACATATTGGCTGGTTATTAGTACTTACAAAGCACATATTCTACATGACCATATTCTACATCCCTAATCCTACCCAATATCTAAAATTAACAACTACCTTACTAACTATTAATAAGCAGCAAATTAAGAGTTTACTGAGGTAAAAGTCATAGTTAATGGTTTGATAATAGAGTTGGACTTTAAAATAAAGTGACCAAAATTTATGACATACAGATTTCCTTCACTTTTAGGATTTAACTAGTGGTATATTAGTATTATTTACGTATTATTATTATTGTATATATAAATTAGTTTATTTTTATATTATATTACCCTTAGTACGTCAACTTTATTTTTGTGTGTATATATATATATATATAGTTTAAATGCATTATTAATAACTTTATAATAGATTCATTATTTCTGCCAAGCAATATAATTCATAACTGTATATTTACAGTTGCCAAGAAATATATTAGCTTTTCATTAATACAGAATGTGTGTTTATTAGAAAAGAGCTAAAAATGAAATACTTGTTCCTTGTAATTGGTTGTTTTCAGCCAACAAAGGTTTTAAGACAGAAGTATATCTCGCACACTCACCCTCCCGGCTTCGCTGTCCGGTCGTCCAGAGTCTCTCTCCGATGACTTTCTGCTGGCCAGACTGTCCAGTGAGACGCACGAGGACGCCTCAAACAGAGCTTCATACGGACTCTCTTCCACAGGGGTCGAAGCCAAACCGGATATGAGCTCACTGACCTGCTGCTCCATTTCTCCTGTCGAAACACACACATACGCATTACAACATCTGGCATACGGATACCACGAGCATCAGCCATCAGGCATCTGTGTGAGAACCACGACTCAATCGCAGATTATACAAATGGCCACATGATAGAATGCAGTATGCACTGATAAAACATTTCAAAAAGTAGTTTTGCATTCATGCTCTGTCATAATTACTAGATGTTGTAAATCGCAATTACGAATTCTACAAGGACATGCAGGCTTTTTGCATGTTGCAATTTCATAATGTCGCTAATTTCCCACATTACCTTACTACATTGCATGTTTGATTCAGTGAATGCTGTCTAACAGTCTTACAGAAAATACAGCTTTTTTAAATTTTCTATGCAATTTTGTGTAAAACGGTCTTAACTTTTAGCAATCGGATCAAATAACGAGTCAAGAAAAATTTAAGTATTCTAAATAATTGAATATCACTTCAGACTCATCACATTTTGTGCATCGAGAAGGTTTGCATACTGCGCAGAGTATACGTATCATACACTGCAGAAATATTAAAGGTAGTACTGCATGACAGAATGCTTTTCTAAACAAAATAATTATCAAATAAATCAGACTTTTAGGGTGTGTTCACACTTGGCAGGTTTGGTTCAATTGAAATGAACTCTGGTAACACTTCGGAGTAAGTGTGAACGCTGCCATCCGAACACTGGTGCGCATCAAACAAGTGGACCAGAGTCAAACAACTGCACCAGAGTTCATCTGAAAAAGATGCCATCATTGTCAGTGAACTCTGGTGCAGTTCGACTAAAATAATAACACAACTAACTTGGATCAAACACATAAAAAACAAACCAAAAACTTTCTCTTCTCGTCATAGGAGCTATTTTGCCCATTACAGTTCAGTACAGGCATTGGAACCTGCGCTCCCTTGCAAGAGATCTTCAGGAATTCTTGCTGCCGTTTCGACTCCTTTACACATTTTATAAGCTCTTCATGAGTCATCAGCCGGTTTAAATAACACTATATGTACGCACATACAACGAGTGTATTCATTCCAGCACACAGCATTATCTTGGATGTTCAGTTAAGTTGCAAAATATGCATCATAAAAGCTGTCCAGTCAGGTTATGATTGTATCCTTATGGCTTTTGTGTCTTTGGGTTCAGTGTTAAAATCAAAGTGTGAATGCTGAGTGAACCAGGACTACATGCCATTTTCTTTTTGGGTCTGGACCAAGAGAACTGAACTCCAACTGTAAACACACCCTAACTGCACTACCTTAAATAAAACTAATAACATCTCTCAATATCACTTAACTGACTGTTTGGCGTATCAAAATAAATTCCTAAAAATCCAGCGGTTAATTGCATCTAAAATTTAGATCTATCATTTTATGAAAAGCAAATAACACTTGACCAACCTTATATTTTAACATATTTAACATGTATTTTTGTTACATTTCAATCAAAACATTTTATAATGGAGAATTTATACAGATAATGAACAATTATTATTCATTTTATATCCATATTCTGCATCTCTGAGATTCTCTCTCTCTCTCTCGTGTGTGTGTGTGTGTGTGTGTGTGTGTGTGCTGCTACCTGCCCATATTCACCCTCATAAATACTCCACACATTCCCCACAGCGCCGCCTCTAATGAGTTGGTGTAAACCGCCTACAGAGAGAGAGAGAGAGAGAGACTCAGTGATGGAGAAAGCGCTGATATAAAAACCAGTCGCTTATTTCACAGTCCGTACCACTTTACGAGCAGAGGTACTATGAATATGATGACCGTTTTAATAACAGTGGATAACAGTATTAACTTTGAATGGCTGACATTTATATGACACAGTCCAATGAGTGATTGTTTTGCTGACACTGCACGAATGTATCAAAAAAAGCTTTCTAAAAACGTCTGGCCTACTACTTCAGCTCAGAGTGGTTCATTAAAACCAAGTGTTCAGAAGTTGTGAACCTCTGAATCCAGCCGCAGTGTATTGGTCATGGGCTCCCGAGTCTTTCAGACAGAAGGTTTGCTGTGTGTTGCAGAGATCCACAGCATTAATATTCATGAGGAGGCTGTTTGATCTGGGTAGACGTGCGGAAACAGCAGTCAGCGAGTGGAAAGACAGATTCAACAGCCTCTCGCCGCAATATTCATTGTTCTGCTCTCCACCATGTGCACTGCTGCAAATGAATATGTCTGTTCATTACGTACTCACAAGACTTGTGTCATGTAGAAATTAAATATAGACAAAAAAGGTTCATGCCAATACTACTTTTTAAACATTCATTATAGTAACGTGAGGTACCATGTACTGTTACCATGCTATTACCACCATGATACCTTCCCTGCACATTTTTGCAAGGGAAAATAAAATGAATTATTTTGAATGCAGTTAAACAAAGGTGAGCATTCCTGGTTCATATCTGAAGAGATTTGTAGAGAAACATATTTTTAATTAAATATCAGACGATAAAGGAGGCAGATACTGTTAACAGCAGGGTAAATCACATCTGCCAAATGGAAACACTGGCCTGTTCTTCCAGAGGTATTTATTAAGGATTCCAGACTTAATTTGATTTTAGTAACATATGATGTGAACCAAACAATGGATCTCCGAACAGAGATTTTACCTCAGAGCTGAGATCCTCTTCCTGTGCAGGCTGACTCTGCGGAGGATGGCGCTCTTTCTGTAAGACACATTCAACACATTTACTATCAAACATGCTGAAAATGTCTTTTTTTTTGGAAAGAAAGATTTTTCAAAGAAATCACTATTCAAAGTCTCCATCTAGTGGAGGAAATTGTACTACATTCAATATTCAGATTTCAAAAACAAATCTTCACACAACTGGCTT